TAGGGTTGATTCGGAGGAACAGGAATAGAAAAAAAAGAGATAATTGTGTTAGAGTGTGTTTAGATAGGTTAAGTGGAGAGAAAAGAGAAGATAAAGGGAGACAGTGAGAGATAATTATCTCTCCCTATCCCTTATATGTTTTCTCTCCCAATTTGAGAAAATAGGGAGAAAAAGGATAATGAAGTAAGTTATAGATTATTAATATCAAAAATGTCATCTACAAATTAACATAAACAAAATTAATTCTATTTATGTCCCAATTATATAATTAGGTGTTTGAAGATACAGAGGAGCTTTTCTTCTTTTTTTCATTTTTGCTTCACTGTAAATCACCTGTAATGTGCTCTTGATGATTTTTTTTCCATGTGAGATATCTATTAGTGTTTGTGTAGAGCAACTCAATCCAGCACCCGTAACTTGATTAGATCTAACCAGAGTGAGTGCCTAATGCATCTCAAAAGTTCAGTTTTCTTTAATGAATGCACTTTGTATAATACATCCTTTTTTCTTTTAATGAAATACCCCTTTTTTAAATAATAAAAAAAAAAAAGAAAAAAAGAAAAGAAAATACACTTTTGTTTTTCAGAATTGCCATGGAGACGTGTATGTGTCATGTCTTATTTGTGTTTGGTGTCTGTATTCTTACATACTGTTATTACTCGGAACATATGATTCATATCCACAGTGAAATGCAGGATGTATGACAATATAAGACATGTATGGATAATGTATGAAGTGGTTATGAAAGGGTAGGATAATAATTTGGTCATTATTTTTTCTTTTCTTTTCTCTCCTCTATCTTATTCAAACAAAAATAACTATAATTTTTTTTCTTTTTTTTCTTATCTATCCAAACATGAATAGAAATTATCTCAATGCTTTCTTTTCTCTCGTAACTAATATTATCCTTTCTTTTATTAGGGTGTATTTGGATAGATAAGGGAGAAAAGAAAAGAAATAATAATATTAATTAGAAGAGAAAAGAAAAGAAATGATAGTAATAATTTCTAATTTTGTATACGTGTTTGGATAGATAGGGGAGAAAAGAAAAAAAATGATAGTTATTCTTGTTTGAAAAAAAAAAAAAAAAAAAAAAAAAGAATAATGACCAAATTATTGTCCTACCAGTTCATACATCATCCATTTCTATCACGTAGGATATTTTGGAATGTTTCTTTGTGATAGTTCAATGTAATGGGTAAAAATAAAAGTAAAAAATAAAAATAAATGTAAAAGGACAATTAATTTGATTTTCTTTTCGTCACTTATAAAGAGTAATTAGGAAGGATGAAAAACTTTCTAATATTTTTGACCATCTCTTTGAAGACCAGTGAGTGTGAAGAATGAAACTGGAATGTAACTAGTGAGTGTGATTAAAGTTCAAAAAAAAAAAAAAAAAAAAAAAAAAAAAAATCAGACAAACACTTTCAGCCTTTCTGTAACAGTAACAAAATTTATGAAAATAAAAAATAAAAAAGGTCTAATTTATTGATAATAGCAAATAGGCTACATTGCAATTTATTTTATAACATTTATAAACCAAACAGCCGACAACTTGGCTGGCACAATTATATGCCATACTGGGAAGTTTCCTCCACTAGTTACGCATCAGGAATCTCTCGAGTCTAAAGTCAATGAGACAAAGAACAAATGATCCCTAATTAATTAAGAACAAAAACTGCCTTAAGCAAGAACAAGATAAGGCTTAAGCAAGAACAAAATTGGGAGACATGTATAACTGGGACATAAATGGAATAATTTTTTTGTATATTAATTTGTGGGGGGTATTTTTGGTATTACAAATTAATCACTTACTCCATTATCCTTTCTCTCCCTATCTTCTCAAATTGGGTGTTCTCAAATTGGGAGAGAAACCAAATGAGAGATAAAAAGGGATCTCTCTATCTCTCCCTATCTTCTCTTTTCTCTCTAATTAACCCACACAAACACACTCTCATTTCATCTTATCTTATCTTATCTTTTGTTCCTCCAAATCAACCCTACCAAACACACCAATCCTTACGAGTTAAAAGAATGGAAAAAAACCAAAGTGTCCCGGCAAATTCTGGGCTAGCGAAAAAGGTGAGTGAATGAATTCCAAGACACAATCATCTTAAAGTCTTGCGTAATCTGTGAAAAGAAGTCCTCATTCAAATTCATACAATATCACACACTATATGTATCCAGGCCAGAGGCAAGGCCATCTAAGGCCTCCCAATTTAGATCATGGTGTAAATATAATAATATATATTTGACATTTATGCCATAATTTTTATAATTAAAAGACAATACATACTTATATATTATATAAATTTATGACAATAAATAACTTAAAAAAAAAAAAAAAATCATAGCAATAAACATACTTTCTTATAATATCAATTTATATATATGTTATATGCCCTTCCTTCAAAGGAAAAAATATATATATATTTAAACTCAGAAACTAAATTTTTTTATTATTATATTATTTTTGGGCTCACGTACATGCAAGGGAGGCTCAGTTAAGCCAAGTCCAAGTAACCAAAATTTTAACTTATGGTGCAATCAACTGTCACATTTTAAAAAGTAACCTTGTAAGATCTCCTAAAATATGACATGATTTTTGATATTGATGTGACATAATTATTTTCAAAATTACAAGTCTTAAACAGAAATTTTATCGAGAGTAAACAAAAAGGCAATTGAATTATTTGAAAATGTTAATTTATTATTTTTCAAATGCTTGGATTGCATATAAAATATTATTAACTATCTAATGAGAGAAATTTTTCAATGTTGAAATTGATCAAATCTTACCTACAAGTCAACGTTGTCGTAAGAAATATTGAATGGATTATCTATAATATCATTTGAAAAAGATATGTTGGACAAACTTGATTGAAGTATTTTAATTGATAATTTTGCAACTCAAAATGCAAGACGATCATAATTACTTTGATATGGAGTTGAATTTTAATTTTTGTGTCTAAGTTGTATTGAATATTTTTTTTAATTTTTTGATATGAACTAGATCGTGCTCTTAATAACGCACCAAAATCGGGTTTTGTTTTGCGTGTTTTCAATATTAATATATTTTATGTGTTTCTCGTCTCATTTTAATGAAAATTCTGCACTTTTATAAATTTTTTAAGCATGTGAAACCTTATAAAGGGTCTCGCATTTAAAAGTTCGCCTAGAGCCTTTCAAAATTTTGAGAATCTTAGGGCTCGCCGTGTATGTACCTAGGATTATGACTATGTATTAGAAGGATTTTTTCAATCAATATAAGATTTGAGTACAAAAATTTACTACTTTCTTTTCTAATGGGTTAAAAATTTGAACTTGGATCCTTTAAGTTAAATATTATCTAAGTTATTCTAAGTTGAATTCGCTACCGATGTCTAAGTTGAATTCGCTATAGATTGACACGTGACATTTAAAATCTATTTAGTGCTAATGTTAAACCACGTCAACTAATTTAAAGACACCGTTTTGAATTAAGAAAAATTCACTATACTTTAACGACGATATTTAACGTCGTTATCTCTCCATCATTTCAAAACGGTGCATTTTTTTAAACTTTGGTAAATTTCTCTTATCTCAAAACAATATAGTTTTCAAACTTTCTTTAAATTAGTTAACATGGTTTAACACCATCTGTAGATAAATTTAACGTGTTAATTTATTGTGAATTCAATTTAGGATAACTTAGAGAATATTTAACTTAGAGGATTTAAGTCTAAAAAATTTACTACTCAATGCCAAACATGGTTCTTCCTATCGGCTGATACGTGAGTGTTGCAAACCATTTTGTAGAAGTATGCCATCTTCTTGTTAATTAGGAATAGTTCAGTGACACTTCCTTGTTTTTCAAAGAAAAATGAAAAGATAGGGTTCAAGTCATTATAGGAGTACATGATGTGTGAGTTTTTTGCCATGAAAAAAATAATAAGACTAAAAAAGTTAGTCTTTAATAAACCAAAAACGTTAAATATTGAATACTTGTAATGCTTTTTTTTTTTTCTTAAAATATTTAAAATTTGAAAATATTATTCAGGGAAAAAAATTGAAAATATTTTTTTTCTATTTCTAATATGTATATACTTCTAAGATATTCCAGCCAAATATTGACTACTTTTCAACTATTTCTTTTTTTTATTTTTTATTTTATCTTAAAAAACTAGGGGAGGAAGGACTCCCACACCACCTCAATAGTTGGACACTTTACCATTTAGGGCACTGAGTAATGCTCACACTTTACAATTATTTCTAAACACATCTTAATAAGTCTTGATTATTATTGTAAAATTTATATTAAAATATAATACCATAAATAATTGTTAAGAAAAGTTTAGAATTTCTCAACTTGGTTGTCATAATTTTTTTTTATACAAAAGGAAAATGTTAGTGACAATAAATATAACATTGACAAACAATTATTTTTAAAAATTTATACATAGAAATATATATTTTATTTTTTTAAAATAAAAATCTACTTTACTGCAATATATTTATATATATTGATTTTAAGAGTTTACATAGAAATATCTATATATATATTTTTAAGAATCTATTCTATCGCAGTATCTCGTGTTCCTGTCCTTGCTTCATAAGCAAAAGTTTTTCATGAAATGCCAAAAAAAAAATATACACCACTTCAGGATAGCAATTATTTTATACCCGACTAATCAAAACACTTCATTTACCTTGATAATAGAAAGTGAGATGTTGTGATCGGGAGGTGAAATTTAATAATGGCTATCCAAACTCCAGAGATACCCAATAATTTCTCAAGGCCCACGGACCACTGGGTACTATGATCCAATTCTGGATGTCCAAGAAACTAAAAGGCTTGCGTTTGTTGTAGTGTAAATAAAGGAGAAAAAGAGCCGATGAGTTGGGTACATTTGTTTGATATGAGGCCCATATTAAGTAGGCCAGCCCAAAGGCCCATTCTCCGGAGATCCGATCTCATACTGAACGATAATTTGCACGCAAGCAGAATGCGCGTTGACGCATTTTGGAGAGAGAAAGAGGAGCGAGAGGGTGCAGGGGAGGAAAAAAGAAGAGGAAGAAGGGAACGAACTCTAGAGAGACAAAGAGGAGAGAGAGAAAGAAGGAGAAGAAGGAATTTGAAACTGATTCCTTTCGCATTGGGTGGATGATTTCAATTTCCACTCCCTCTTCTTCTTCTTCTTCATATTGAAAATCCGAGCCAAATTTGTAAAGAAATCAACTTTTGTATAAAGCCCCTTCTTACGGTGGCGGTGTCGGTGATTGGCGGTGGCGGTAACGACGGTTTCGGTGGTGGTGGGGTTTTGATTGGTTATTATGGCGTATAGAAGAAGGCAGGGAATGCCCAAAGGTTCGACCTCCAAAGAAGAAATTGGGAGCCCTTCCAATTCTCCCACTGATGAAAGCTCCTCCTCGCCGCCGTCGTCGTCGTCTTCTCTGGCCGCGAAAGCGATCAGAGCGTCCTCCGCCTATCGCGATTCTTCTATCTCCTCTGCTTACGGCCATTCTGCTATCTCCTCCTCTGGGGACTCCAACTCCAACTCCAACTCCAACTCCAACGTTCCAAGATCTTCTCCTCCATCTGTAGAAAAGGTTCAGTTTTTATCTTCATCCTTCATTTTGCTTGATTTTTTCATATATTTGCTAAACGTATTGTATGAATATATTAATTCAGAACTTTGGATATGATTAACTATGCGAAGTTGTGCCTGGAATTACCTTCCAAATTTTATTATACATCCGATAGTTTTATGCACTTCTTCATTCATAGTTCCCACTTCCTAGTGGTTTTGTTCTGATTTTTCTTTTGACAACCATTTTTTTTTACACACCCACTGTTACCCGTATGAATGAGGACTAGAGATCTCTACCCCTCTTGTGGGAAGAGGAAGAGGAGGAGAAACCACTTGAGATTAATAAGCTGGATACATGTACAATATCTGCTAGGTGATGGATGACCCGCAGCCATTGTTCCTTCCCTTTACAGGGATGGAGTGCAGTGGATGTTTTAAACTGAATGTTCCTATGCATTTGTAGTTGAAATGAAATTAAAGAAATATTTTATATTGGTAAATCAATTATTTGTTTGCTTGTGAAGATAGGGTTTTTAAATTTTTTTATCTATGGAAAATAAGGTGCTAATGAAAGGAGGCAATGCAATGTTAGCAGGGAAGGGGCAAGAACAATTTCAATTGCTTTAAATCCATATTGTTCTTCGCAATACAGCCATATGTTCTCGTAGGGGATTTTGAATACTTTAAACCTCTCAAACCTTGATTTGACATTCTTTTTTTTTGAGAAAATGGAATCTTCGTGAACGTTAAGTCTATTGTGTACATCAACAAATTTCGTTGAGACCAAGCATTGAGAGTTTAGAATAGTTTAGATGTTTATTATTCTCAATACAAAATACCTTCACTTTGTTGTGGCATGAGTTCCATATGAATGAGTCTGACATCTGCTCTTGTTCTTTTGTTAAAAATAAAGCTTCCACTTGCTGGGCTCGTCCTAGGATAGTATTCGAAATATGTGACTCCATGCATTAAATATGTGCATTGATGTAGTTTACTCTCTTAGTTGATTTGTGAAAAAAGTTCGACTCGATTATGTATTTTCAAAATTGTTTGAATTGTGTATTAATTTATTAGTGAAATACATTGACCTCCCATGAGATTTGACATATTTGTGCATGCATGTTGAAAATGAGTGAATTTTTTTGACCGCCCCCTAAATTACACACATCCTCCATTTAACCCTTCATGCATTTATTCTATGATTAACATCATCTCCAATTTATTCTTCATTATGCATAATTGAGCCTAAATAACGGAAATGTTCATTTTTTTGTGCCTCTTGTTTCTCAACCTTCACTGCATCCCTATTTGTATTTCTGGATTTACTAAAGTTTCACTGCAATACTTCATACATTTTCGTCTATTTCTACCCATCTTGAACCCTTTTAATTTTAGAGCTTCTCTTTAACCCTTTAATTTAGCTCTGATTCCTCCAGTCTTATCAATTAAAACAATATCATTCTGAATGTGTCTTGTTAGCTCGTCCATAATTAAGGCAAAAAGGTAAGGGCTTAATGTTGACCTTTGATATAAGATTATAAGCCTACAATATTGTAAATCCACTTGTTTCCTCCACAATCGTACTAACGATAGGCACACATCATATCCTTTATTTTTTCAATAAATCCCTTTGTGATTTATTTCTTTGTTAAACCCCACCATATTAGATCCTTAGGTACCTTATCATGGACTTTCTCTAGATAAAAAATAAATAAATAAATAAATAAAAAACCATATGAAGAACTTTCTTCTTCTCTCTATATCTTTTTACATGTCTCCTCAGTAAGTAAGAGCCTATGTGGATGACTTCTTCAGCATGAATCCATACTGGTCTAAGTTTAAGCTGGCAGTTTGTGACATTTTCAACGATTAATTTTGCTTTATGCATGATTTAGTTTATTGGAACTGGAAACATGTGTTCCCTTGCTGATAAATGTGGTGTTTTTGTAGGATTCAACAACTTATGGGTATACATCGATGAAAAATTTGAGTGAACCTAAGCATGGATTTTGGGGAGTTCTGGCTAGGAAAGCGAAATCCATTCTTGACGATGATAATGATAATGCAGCCCAACAATTTGAAACACCCAGAAGAACAAGAATGAATATGTCTGATACATCAACAAAGGGTCAGGTGAGAATGAGTTTTGTGATCGCTCTTAATGGTAAAAACCGTAAAATTGTATTATACTGTTCTAAATAGCAAAAGTAATTCTTTTTTTACTGGTAAGAGTGATCTTTTTATTTTGAAGTCCTTTATAGGTGTTCAATTTTGTTAAAAATCAAGTCAGAAATTGCCCTCGTCAAATTTTGGTGATTGACATTTTCTAGCACCTTGGTTCTGGTCAATGTTGCCATCATGTTTTGTACAAATACTCTAAGTTACTGGGCTTTATGTTTCTGATTTGTCTTGTCTTTGTGTTTCTAATTTGCAGTCCAGTAATCCATATTATTCAACTGAGAACCAGCGAAAGACAGATGGTCCTGCTTTACAGAAAGGACTAGGTGCAATTGCATCTTCTCTAAATTATATTGGCGGCACCATTGGTAATGCCTTTGAGGTAAGTTTCTTTAGAAAATTTATACTGAAAAATTAACTAAGGGTGCTTGGTTCATGTACTTCAGTCTGGTGATTGAATTTGGGGCTTTTATATTCAATTTCCTGTTTGGCTTTTACTCTATTTAATGGAATTGGAACCTTTCTAATTTAGTGTTGAATACTAATCATAGGAGGAAGGGAAAGAAATCTAAAGGGATTTGGTATTATTTGCAAATCCCACACTAGCATTGAAGCAAATGGAAGAGCATAAGACAAATAAGATAACCACTACAACCATCATCACCTTACTGCTGCTAGTCTTCCCACCATTAATGTCGTGCCACCATTATATCAGTGACCGCCTCAGTGACCTCACTGTGATTTGTACCATTGCCTTTACTCTCGTTATTCGTTCGTGCTATCACCATCATACTACTGTCGCCACCACAGCAACGCCAATCCTGGACAGCACTGCTTTGGTACTGTGTAACGGTCTTTTAACACAGTCACAACAGCTATGCAGTTCTTTGATTGTTTTTCCTTCCTCGAAACAATCTCTCTCTTCTCACACACACTCGTGCCTGTGAGTGTGAAGACATATTTAACTACTTATTTATTTATCCTACCATCCAAATGGATATATACTATGATTTCATATTCATTGATACGCCATTGACCGATGCCTCTGCATAAGAGGTCTCACCTTTGCCTGACTTTCACTCACCTGACTCTTGGGAGTAGAGGATCTGCAGCTCAAATTAAAGCCATCATCTTGCAGGTAGGACTGCAATTCATGCTGGTTGAGGGATAAACTTTAGCTTGAAGTCAAATGAATAAAACCTTTGCCCGAGCCCAACCCAACAAGTCATCAGGGTTGGACATGGGTTAGGCTATAATAAGTATAGAATCATATATCGATTCAGGTTGCGGTCAGGTTGCCCAACCCAAACTAAGGTTGGATTGAAATTTTTTAACGCAAGTCCAAACTGTAGTAATTTGATGAATTAATTTTTTTTTCCTTCATAATTTGATGAATTATTAATAGTTATAGTAATTTGTTGTTTGCAAACTTTGCACCAATGTTGTCTTTTACTCTTGCAGGAGGGTCTAACAGCCGTGGAGAACCGGACTGCTGACATCATTCAAGAAACTCGCAAGCTGCAAATAAGAAAAAAGGGTTCAGAAGTTCATAATCAGGCTTCAAATGTTCGTAGTACAGGGCAACAACCCCTAGTGCAGACTCATGTGCAACCTCAGATGCAGACTGATCTAGAAATCCAACTGAAAGCATCTCGCGACGTAAGGAGGCAATTGTGTATCACTGGTTCAAATAGTGAAAGTATCTTGCATATGTGGGTTGCCCTTCTATTTTGTAATTATTTTCAATGCTAGAAGTGACCCATCACTTTTTCTTTTTCTTTTTTTTTTTTATTTTTTTTTTAAAAAAAATATAATTATTTTAGGCATAGAACCTTTTTACCACTATTTTTCTAATTTGCATGTGACAAGTTTATAACTTCATTTTGCATAGAATTCCCTTTATATGCTATACTACTCTTTAAAAGTAAGCAGCGCAACCGGAAATACCCTAAAATCCAGTTAGCTGTTTTTCTGAGTTATTCTTTTTTTGTCTATAAAGCAGTCTTCATAGTCTCTGAATTATTTATCATCTATTTCCTATTCAATGTTATCTAGGTACAGAATACGATTGTATGAGTGTGGTTGTCTGAGATTGTTGTCCGTATTCACTTCTTTTTGAATTATTCACCCAAACACTAATGTGGTATGATTTGGTTTAATTTAGTCCTTTCACGAGATGTAGAACGGTTCCAAAGGTTCTTGCTCTCATGTCTTTGTTGTTGTTACTATTAAAGTAATTTTGTTGCAATTCTTACTGCAAAAACATAATTATAATTAAGATTGGCATCTGGTTAGAATACTCCGAGAAAAAAAATTTCTACTAGTTATTTTCTGGAAGCCCTTGCCTCCCAAACACGAGAGCAGGAACTTGGAACGGGAGAGGGGAAATGGATTAGTTGCTGGTTTGAGAATTTAGTTTAAGCTATTAGATGCAGCCCTAATATTTGGTTTTTTGATTTCCTCTATATTGGTCAGATACATGACATTCCTTTTGGTATGCATCTCAGGTTGCAATGGCAATGGCAGCAAAAGCAAAGCTGCTTCTTCGGGAGTTGAAGACGGTCAAAGCAGACCTAGCTTTTGCAAAGGAGCGTTGCACTCAGCTGGAAGAGGAGAACAGAATCCTTAGGGAAAGTCATGAAAAGGGAGACAACCCGGAAGACGATGATTTGGTATGCATTCTCTTTTTTTGCTAGACTTTTTTTTTTCTTTCCCTTTACACAGTTTTATTTATTGACAAACAGGGAGGCAAATGAACACTGTTCGTGTGTATGTGTGTGTGTGTGTTTGTCAATGATGGTGGTGTCACACCTCTTACAGCACCATATTATCAGGAAAATTTCCTTGGTGTGGTGGTCCCAAGGGGATTCAAACTCTCAACCTCCAACATGTGAGGTGAGAGTCTTGCAATAGGCTATCCCCTTGGGATTAATATGAACACTTACAACCAATTCTCCGACTTTCCAAATTTTGTTATTGTAATGGATACAAGATAACAGGAAGGGCTAAAACTGAAATGAAACAATTATATTTTCTTGTTTAGAATTTCAATGTTGTCTTGTTAGCAGAGAACAAATTATTAAATTAAGACCCCCTACCTATTTAGACACTTACCTAGCAAATGAATGGCCAAGATTAAACTTAATCACTGGCCTAGATCAATTCTCTAATGATCCTACAAAATAACTACTAAGATACTTACATATTTCTTCAGAACTCCATAATAAGCTAGAATATTCTAACGCCTGTATTTACAAATCAGATACGTCTTCAACTTGAGACACTTCTAGCAGAGAAAGCTCGATTGGCACAGGAAAACTCAGTCTTTGCACGGGAGAACCGCTTCCTAAGGGAGATTGTTGAATACCACCAGCTCACCATGCAGGATGTTGTATACTTGGATGAGAAAAGTGAAGAGGTCAGTGAAGTTTACCCCATCAAGGTAAAACCAACTTCATCTGTGTCCTCCTCCCCATCACCTGAGAATTCTTTTACCAGAGGTCCGTAAGTAAGCGAGGATGTATCTCCTCTCTCCATAGCTTCATCGGAGCTAGTGGTCTTTCAGAGTGCTACACCATTACACCATTAAGATACCTTCTTATACCCATCTTATCGGAAGAAGATTTAGAAAGACCCTCAATTCCTTATATGCTTGAATGGCAGTGTTTCTCACTTCTCTCTCTCCACAAGGGTTTGAATTGTATTGATATCATTTTTTACAAATATTTTTTGGGGGTTATTTATTGCTACCTTCTTCCCTTGGTTGGCCCACATATAACTAATTTGTATGTGCAATTGTTGAAATTTAAAAGCCTTTTGGTTTGCTATCATGTTAAGGAAAGATCGCATCGGAAGCTTACTTTGTGCTATGCTACAACAATTTTCAAAGGTTCTTACCAAAAGAAATGTCATTGAAATGAGGTTTTTTAACAGTTGAACTTCCGGGATGCATGAATTTAGATTTGGGGTTAATCTTTTGGTTATAAATGTCTTTTGGTAAGATTTTCTGGGAGAGAGAGACTCAGAAAACTAGTCAAAGAATGAACCTCTATAGACAATTTTGTATAATGTTACTATTTGTGGTTTCAAAAAATAGTGAATGACCAAGAGATACAATGACATTGTGGTTAGACAACATATAGATGTATGGCAGTCTTCCTCTGGCACGTTTTATGGCTGCAGTTTTGCCCAGCAAACAGCAATGCGACCAATTCGAATTCAAAATATCAATGAGATCAGATTATACGAACAGCATTCTTCAAACAAATTGACATCGGTTTCACAGCCAAACTGATCTTGGTCATCGTACCAATGGTCAGATCTTAGAATAACTGGAAAGACAGACTAGTTGATCCATCACCGTATGATTTGATATCTGCTGGTTTAACCAATTCCCTACACAATGGGCATGTCCTTTCTCGCTCAAACCTGCAGATATGAAACATTAAATTCTACATTGCAAATAAATAAATAAATAAAAATAGCGCAAAAATAACATCATCTAAAGAGCTCCATCATTGACTCAAAAACATGTTTTACTTTCAATGCATTTCGTATTGAAAGTAGATGACTGAATGCAATTCAATAACTCGGTCGAACTATGAACTTAAAGGGATGCCTACAAATCAGGTCATGAATGTTAAATTAACACCTTGCCACGGGAAAAAAAATAATGATCCTTGTGGAACTACAGATGCATAAGGTGAATTAAACTGACCATTCTGACACACAATCTTCGCAGAATATGTGTTTGCAGGGAAGCAAAATTGGAGCATGCAATTTCTCTTGGCAAATGGCACAAAGATCTCCAGTGGCATTGACCTGCATGAAGTTCCCAATAACTTAGAATCCGTGAATTTCGTATGCAAGCAAGAAATATCACCCATTATGTAGAGAATCTAAGAATATATCATATAATCCAAAATCAATGAAGCATCTGAAATTAAACCTACTAAGTGTAGAGGATGCTAATGGAGCATCACAGATCATGCTCTCCTGGCCATCCTATACGAGTGTCGTTTTTAATTATGCAAGTCCAAGGGGAGTTCATTTTCAAGTTCTCCTTCAATTGGTTTATTTTTAGGAATTTACACATACTTAGCATAGTGAATTGCAGCAGAATTGATTTTATTGTTTGGATTCTGGTAAATATGCCATTTGGTTTTATCTAAATGAAGAAGAGAGAGGAGAAGAACTTTCATCTGCTTTAACTCGTGGGGATGGAAAAAATTACTCTAAGAAGCACGGCTAGACCTCATATCAGACACCTAATTGGCAGTGGATCAGACACCCGGATATGATTTGACTTTTGGCACCCTAATGCCCCAGATAGAATTAGGGATGATGCTGGTCTAGACCTGTATGCAACTCATTTGATTACCTTTATTTTTAGTGCCCCTTCTCCCTCATCATTTGGCAATTTTACCAACATGTATGACGATCATATATCAACCCCTTGCTAGAAGTCTCTACTCGATTGGGTAGCTTATGAGTGGGGAGCAGGGAAATGTCAGGATTATAGTTAATAAAATGGTATTGGCATGCTCAATTTACAGCATATGGAGTGAAAGAAACTCTAGAGCTTTCGGTGGTGCAAGTAACCCAGCCCAAAGGTTGTTATTTAAATCAGAGAGATATTCAGAAGATTACGCTTGCTTAAGTTCAAGAATTCTCTTGTAACAAAGAGCATTGCTGCAGAGTGGTACTAGATGGGTTTTGACCCTTATGGGATGTTGCAGTCTATTACTGATAAGTGGAATTTACTATTGAGTTCACTGTTGTGACAATATAAAGCAGTTTAACTTTTGTGCCCTGTTTGTATATAGGTTGTAGTTATGTATAGGGTCTTTCAACCCCTAGCTGTTTTTTGTAAGCCCGAGGGGCTTCTATTATTTTGCAGGGATCCCCCTGATTGTACAGTTACTTCACATATATACAAAATTACAAATCATCACTTTACTTGAAAAAAAATTAAAATTAAAATAAAAAAAGATTCCATCTACTTTTATCAGGAGAGGAAGTGGAAAGAAAGGAATGGAATATATCACACTCACGTCTTTCCATAATATACTTGTACCTCTTGATGAAACATTGTATATAATGCTCTACATCTCCCAAGTTCTCTACTCACCTCCCTAACAGAGCTGTGGTCTTTGTGAGACCAAGGAGATCCATTTTCACCTCTAATCATTCCACTCTTCTTTTTTTTCCTGAATTTCCGCTCCTGTTCTTTCCTCTACCCTTAAATGAACTCATCTGTAAAATTTATCCTCACTAGTCCTTGTGCCCCTTGACAAACATCCATAATTTCCCCAATTAAATTAAGTAGGAGGTTAGAGGCTGTCCGTTTACATAATACACATACTATATAGGCCATTAGTCATTGGAATTTTAATTGAACAAAAAAATTCTTCAGAAAAAAGGCTTTTATATTGGACGCATATCCAGGATTACCACGGAAGTATATGAATATGATAAAAATAGAGCTTTATCTTAGAAGTATCTATGCTACCTGGCTCACACAAAAATAAGTAGTGGATCTTCAATTCATGGTGAGGAGGGTAGGGGAGTAGGACTGACATTTGGGGGTACATCATTCCAATCCAAAGAATCCCTAGAACCCCCATCCCCCCTAAAGAAAAGCATCAGATAAGATGAAAAAAGAAAAAATCGCTTCAAAGGAAAATTCCACCAACCTGTTCAGAAGTGGCATACGACCCATAATTTAACTCCTTACGTGATAAGACCTTCAATGCATCAAAGAAGAATTGAACCTGGACATCCAGAATACATTATATTAACAACAAAATGCAATCACTCTGTTCAACAATAAGCCCATCATGGTCTGAGGTGATTTTAGGGATCAAGAAGAGAAGCACGAATGTCACTGAAGATAGAAATGTTTAAAGGTATACCTTCCCAATAACTGATGCGAGCTTGAAAGTTAAATACAACCCTGTAGTCAACAATGAAAAGAGGTTTCCGTATTGTTTGTTTAAAAAGAAACGACACCAAACAGGTGTTGGCAACAATGCACGGTACAGCAGCAACATGTACTCAACAAGTGTTAGCATTTGACCCTGAAAAACCAAAGGCCTTCAGCACTAGGTAAGTTGAAAACAGATAAAAGGAGAAAATTGCAGACAAAAGAACCTTAAACTTGGTAATTCATTATTCAAATTACCTGCTTCCGGCCTCTGGTATTCTTGTAATACAGTAAAAGGTTGCATTTGAAGACCATTGCAACCTGTTTAACCATTGTATCTAGAAGAAAGATGAAAAAAAAAAACTAAGTAAACTGTATGAACAATTCAAGAAAGCGCTGAAGCATCAATATGGAAATAATAGGAGACCTATCATCTTATAATCCAGATAGAAAGAGGGCGTGTGGGAGAGGAGTGGAAATTGAAACATTTGGCATTCAGTCAAGACAACACCAATTTGTCTAAGAGACCTTTTATCTTAAAATCCAGATACAAAGAGGGTGTGTGGGAGAGGAGTGGAAATTGAAACATTTGGCATTCAGTCAAGATAACACCAATTTGTCTAATGATCCATGAACAGTCTCCAGGTATAGTTGTCCCATTTTTGGGGAATATATTGATCCATAATAGGAGAGTGACATGTCAAGAAAGTTGCCTATCATACCCAGATTGTTCATTTTATGATTTTAACAACCATATATAAAAGTGTCAACATGAGCTGGGCATAGGTCATGTTACATGAACTCTTCAAAAGTAGTTGAAGTACCTGTCAGACACATAATACCCGGAGACTAGGTATGGGACATGTGTTCGACAACTTTGGTTGCACATGCACCTAAAAATATATCTAATAATTCATTTTATTAAATTATTGCTTCAAAAACAAGTGAAATATCTATATTAGACACTATGTAACATAGAGAAACTATTATACTCTATAAAATAAAATAGAAATATTAGATGACATAAGTATTTGGCAATGTTCTCGGATCCTATTTGAAATTTTGATATGTTTGACACTTGGATAATTACCCACACCAGATGCACATCCGAGTCCAGGTAACATAGGGCATGGGATATGCGTCAACCATTTAAAATCCATGTCACACTAGAAATTTTTTACTAAATAGAGTATGTAGTTGATCTCCATAAACAACTTTAATTCTTGTCAAAAAACATCAAGAGGTCATTAAAAATGGTGAAAGGTGAAAACAAGTATTCTCCTACATATACCTATATTTATATCCTAAAAATATCATCATGACAAAATAGTTGGGATTGAGAGTGTACTTTAAATTTACAATTAGGCTACCAGTTTCCCTAACTCTAGAAAACCCCTAATTACCTCGACACATGTATCATACCAAACTCTCCGTTAAAGTCTTTAGACACATGATTTGCTCGTCACCAGACTTCACTCCAGATGAATCTATTTCTCTAATCAGTGATCTGATTTTCAGCCAACTAATCATCCAGAGCAATCTCCGAATGATTGAATAATTTTACTGGTGCTGAACTTCTCATATTAGCACCAGAGCAATAATGTCAACATACTCACCAATTTCTAATGCAATTGATGAATGTAAAGAAAAATATGAATGCACTCTTCTTTTCAAAAATTATATGTTCTCTCTCTAAGTATCTGGTGCCTCTGTAATATGCCCCTGAAGTAGTATATATGTAGGAAAACTAGAAGCATAAAGAGAGCAAGGTCTTCAGTGTTTTATTTTAAAAAGGAAACTGAATCAAATAGATCGATCAATCGATCGACCACAACTCCAGAGAGTTTCGATCGATTGTTCTATCAATCAAAGTACCCTCTAAATTTATATTTAGAAAAATTTCAAATTAGGAAGTCTCCAAAACGGCATATTAAAAAGGATTTTCTGAATCAAATCATGAAATATTAGAAACCCTAACGAATGAATGCATGAACCCTAATATTGGTCAGTGCATTGGAATGTCAAATTGCCTTTATTCCCTTGGCGTAAAAGACTACGGTTTTCCCCTTGAATGTAGCTTGAATTCCATCTTCCACCATGAGCAAGAGGTAACTACCATGATACTAAGTAACTTCTGAATTTTCAAGTAAACTTGAAATCAGAACAAAAGTACATAGTCTAGTTTTGATCCACGAAATTTGCTAACATGAGTCGTGTTGACCTAACAATATAGAAGACTCATGTCTTTTGATAAATTTAATCCTCGTAAAAATTTGTCTTGAGAGAGTTACCAAAAATAAACTTCCAGCAAGCTCATTCGATTGAGAATCATGATTGATCTCTAATTATTAAAACGCGAAAAAGAAAAAAAAAAAATGATAGCAAAGTGAATAGTCACCAAACAAATCAATCTTGACAAGAAAACTGATGTCCTTAGAGAATCTTATTGCCGCTTACAACCATATTGCTACAAAAGCAGAATACACACCTTTGTTTGACACATAGCAAACTAAGACTGAATTCAAGTTTTTGCCATTCAACATACTTAAGAAAAACATGAACTTACCATTGACCATGATGACAAATATAGCATGCCGAAATGAAGGGACTTCTTTTGGAGGAAGCAAGACCAATGAGTATAGAAGGTCATCCTTGCGATACCACCAATAGACATAAACCACATGGAGAATGAATATTACAGTGATACCAATGAGAACAGAGATTTTCCTCTCTCCCTGCACAAGCCACCACTTGTTATGCTTAATTACAAATCAATAATACAAATAATAAATTTGCTTCTATATAAAGGAATAGTAATCAACAGATAAAACAAGTGTCGCAGTACCTTCAGAGCTGTTTGCTTTAGTAAAATATCATTTGATTTGAACAAGACTGAAGCAATCCAAATTGCAACAAATAAGCCTGAAGTGTTTCCAACGAAACCCATGTTAATAGCTTGGGCAAAAAAAAATTAGAATTTTAATAGTACATTTTTTTCTTCGAAGGTGGAAACTTAGGTTGTAAATGACTGCCTCATCATTGTCTTGACCAAGAAGGCACTTGTAATCATATCAATCCATGTATATTTTCAAAACTACTCAGAAACATCATAACAAAGTCTTGACAAAACATTTGAAGTACAAGATCAAGAGACAATTTCAAGCAAATGATAGAAAAGAAAAGAAAAAGAAATACCTAATAAATGTTGTCGGATGAAGACAACCAAGAGCAGCAAAGAAAAAGGCGGAATTTGCTCTATCCATGGGGCAAAGTACTGCTGAACACCATATCTCCAAGAAGAATTGTCCCTGTTAATGTCACTATTATTTACACCATCCCAACTCCCAAACTCTCCTTGTGTGCTTACACTCCCTGAATCACAAGCCTTCATAGAAACACCCTCAATTGCCCCACCACCAAACCCCATTTCGGCCTCCGCAGACACCCCACCAGCATCAACGATTGTAATTGTAAACTCCTGATTACCACAGGTGGTTGTCGCGGCGGCGGTGGTGTCAGGACCACCGCAATGATCGAACTCCTCCGGCAAAGCAGCTGACATTGAAGGAGGGTTCCGAAGAAGAAACGTGGAATACTCCAACAGGGTCTTCAATGGCGTCTGTATGAAATTCGAATAGGCAACGGCTTATAGGACTGTTACTAAAGTAATTGGAATCGGATTTATCCATTTATAGCTTCCAATCTTGACCTGTGTTAATTTATTGAGATTGGAATGCAATTTGAGCGAACCAGTCAAAGAACCCTAATTTGAAAGAAGAAAGTCAAGAGTAAGAGACTCCAAACTCGTCCATATTCGTGTATTAGAAATGAATGATAGAGCCCTCTGAGTATACATCACAACTCTCTCTCCTCCTCTTTCTCTCTCTATATGCAATAATTATATAAATAAACGTGTGTTCTTAGCGTGCCGTGTAAACACGTACCGTGCTTGACGCTATTCCATCAGAAGATGCTTCTAACGATTTTCACCGAATTAAAAATAATAAAACAAAGAAAAAGATACCGTTAACAGTCGTTGCCCGCGTGATTTCAATAGTTGATTAGCGGTTGTTACAATTCTTAGTGAGAAGATGGCCCATGGAAAAACAAAAAAATCCATTAAAAAGTCATGGTATCACCGAGAAAGTCTATAACATCCAAAGGTAGAAAGTCTATGGTACAAGAAATCTTACGTGGACCTGACTAGATTTAGGCCAGGTTTGGATAGGTGGATTTGGGAGATAAAAAAATATTGTGTTTGGATGGCAGGATTTGAGGAGAAAAGAAAAGTTTAAAGACAAAATAAAGGATTGGGAGGGATTGAATAGATATATCCTCAAAAATGAAAAGATTTAGAAAGAAAATGGAATGGGTCAGTCATACTTTCATAATATCATTTTTTTTTTTTCTTAGGGGGTTAAAAAAAAGTATGGTATGTTTTTATCTCTGTTTACCCAATTAAAAAAGCACCAAATGTCAATTCCAGATAAAATTATGCTAAATCAAAGTCTTTTAATGGGTCTATAATTTCAACTACAGTTTCGTAACTTTGTGTAATTAGGTATTAAAATTTTATGGTCTGTTTGGTCGGAGGGATGAAAAATTGAATAGAAAGGAAAAAAAAAAAGGATAGATGAAACATTTTATGGGAAGAGAAAGTTTCTCCAACCAAACATGAAAAACATTCTTTCATCCCTCATCTCACTCGTCCTTCTTTAATCCTTCCCTCCAACCAAATATGGCAAAAAAATTTACCTTATTACATGATTTGATAACATAAAATTATCATCATTTAAATAAAAGGGAACTGTTATCACATTTGATCTCAACTACTTCACCTTTTAAGTTTAATAATAAAAATGACAATTCCGCCCGTCATCTCCTGCAAAAAATTATAGCATTTGTTTATCGACCCAAAAAATAAATAAATAAACATGACATGAAGATTTGGTAACAATTTTTTTTTCCTCTCTTATTTCATTTTTAAGCTCAACCTTTCAGGCACCAAACTATGGATCAAAAGCTCCTCAAATCTTCATGAAAATGTGACCCGTTTGGTTTCTTGTAATTTTTCTTGAAAACAAACTTTATGAAGAAATTGTTATGAAAGATGCAGAATTCCTGAAAAAAAAAAAATGATGAGTTTTGGAGAATGATAACATCTCTTTTTGCAACTGAGCAAGAATCAACTTTAAATTTGTAAATTAATGTGCATCTGAGTTCAATTTCAATGATAACTATTACAAAATGACATATCAACCTTCTTGATTTCTATTTTTTCAACAATTTTTAGTAACAACAAATTGAATAGTTAAGGAGAATTTTGTATAATAATAATAATAATAAATAAATAAACAGAATAAATGAAATAAGAAAAAAATCTTAAAGGAAGCAATCTCCCAAAATTTTTTGATAGTCAATGGGGATTTAGTGCAATTTGCCTTTTTATAATTTCTAAAACATGGCATGTTATTTTATTACATAAATAGTTATGGTAACATTTAACAACTTAAAATTTTGAATCGATTTACAAATTACCTAATTCGTTATAATTGATATTAAAATTAGATTCAATCCTTTATCCCCGGTATCTAGCTAAGTGCTCAACCAAAGAGTATTCATGATTTGCATAATATAATTGGTTAAAATTCTCGTGCTTGGTAGGAAAGTAGATTACTCAAATCACAAATTATGCTTATGAAAGTTTTCTATTTATTTTTAATAAAAATAAATAAGAAATTATTTTCTGATCTGTATTTAACCCTGTCTTAAAACAAAAATTAAAAAAGAAATGCTTCTAACATTCATTAGATGAGATTCCATAATGAAATTTTTTAGAGTCACTGTCAAAACTAAATGCGACAACTTGGCTTGATGTGTCTATTCCATTCCAACAGCTAAATGAGTTACTAGTTTGAACAGCCAAAAAGCATTAATTGAAGGTCAAATTAAAATTTTAAAAGATGAAAATAATAAATTGGCACCGAACGTTGGGTCGGGAGGATTCAAAGTTTTTCTTTTTTATTTCCCCTTTCTTATTTGTCTAAGAGTTCCCTGCCAATCAGTCGGGATAGACAACCCTAGGTTTTTTCAAAATTCTTATTTATAGTCCATTAAAATAGAAAATTATTATATTTCACAAATTTAGATTTGTGATTTTCTCTTTAATTAAGTGGTCGTTTATTTCTCAACTTATTTAAATGCTTTGTGTATTTTAAAAGCATTTTTTTTTTTTTTTTTTTGAATATGAGAAAGATCTTAATATAGAAAATAGAGAAAAAATTGCAAACTTATTATTATAAAATTCAAATCCTAATATAATTTAATAAATTGAATTAAATTTTGTCAGTATATATCTTCGTCTGGAAGACTCTTTCTATTCAATCTTCAAATATTTAAAACTAAAAAATACAATTTTTTACAATTAATGAATGACCTCTTTTCTCATGAATAAGAACCCTAATTTACATAAGTTTTTTTATAATTGTATTTTCATTTGGTATTTTAGAAGTTGCTACTAGAAATAAAAGAGAAAGAGGGAGTGATGAAACGTATATTGTATTAAATTGAGTAAGTAAACACTGTACATAAAGCACCTATATATATATGTGTGTGGGGGGGGGAAATGGGGGTAGGGGAGTGTTGTGCAAGTTAGGGTAACTGAGAGTGCAAGCTAAGGTAACGGAGTGATGGACAAGATATCTATGTATGGTAAGTGGGTAGGTGAAGGCGGCTACGGTAAACCGTAAGATTATATACAATATAATCTAGCATCTTCGGCCCCTCAAAATCAAGGTGAATTAAATGAAACCATCTTGAGTTTGGAAATAAGATCTCGAAAGCGGCCTGGCGGAAGCGATTTGGTGAACACATCTGATATTTGATCATGAGAAGTAATGGACCGCAACTGTAAGGTCTTCTGAAGAAAATGATGACGAACAAATTGACAATCGATCTCAATGTGTTTGGTGCGCTCGTGAAAGACATCATTGTGTGTAATTTGGATTGCACTCCTATTATCACAATAGATCAGAGTGATAGTGGATGAATAAAATCCCATGTCCTGAAAGAGCCAACGCAACCATAGAAGCTCTAAAGTAGTATCAGCAAGTGCCATGTACTCAGTTTCCGCACTAGAACGAGCAACCACATTCTATTTCTTGCTGCACCAAGAGATAAGTGAATCACCAAGAAAAAAACAAAAGCTTATAGTGGAATGACGATCTGTGGGGTCTCTTGCCCAGTCTGCATTTGAATAGGCACGGAGAACAAGTTATGACTGAAAAGAAAAATGAAGCCCATGTAACGTAGTGCCTTTAAGATAGCGAAGGATGCAAAAAATTGCAACAAAATGAGTAGATTTAGGGGCAGCCATGAATTGACTGATAATAGGAACAACATAAGAGATATTTGGGTGGGTAACAGTCAGATAAACCAGACTGCCAACCAATTGTCGATACAATGTACCATCCCGAAGAGATTCGTCATCATGTAGATTGAGTCTCATGTTGTGCTCGAGAAGTGTATCAACAATCTTGCTATTAGTTAAGCTTACTTTTGAAAGAAGGTCTGATATGTATTTTGCTTGAGTGAGGTAGTAACCATCTATAGCTGTAGTGATCTTAAGACCAAGAAAATAACTGAGGGATCCAAGATTCTTCATCTCGAACTGACGACTGAGAAAGTGTTTGAGCTCTTGAATTCCCTTCAAATCATCTCCAATGATGATCATATCATCAATATAAAGTAAAAGAAGAATAATACCCCAGTTAGTGCGTCAGATGAATAGAGCTGTGTCATAATATCTAGCAGAGAATCCAAGACGAGAGATAGTCTGGCTGAATTTGGCAACCTAAGCTCGAGGTGCTTGTTTGAGGCCATACAGAGCTCTTCGGAGTTGACACACCTTGTTAGGAGGATGATGATAACCTGGAGGAGGCTGGATGTAAACTTCCTCAAGTAAATCTCCATTGAGAAAGGCATTCTTAACATCCATTTGAAAAAGTCCCTAATGACGGGAATCAACCATAACAATAAGAGTGCGAACAATGGAAGGCGTGCAACATGAGCAAATGTTTCTTCAAAATCAATGTCATATTCTTGTGTGAATCCTCTGGTTACAAGTCGGGCCTTGTAGCGCTCAACAGACCCATCTGAACGAGTCTTGGTCTTGTACACCCACTTACATCCTACTACAGACTTTCCAAAAGGCAAATCAACCAGATCGCATGTCTGATTTTTGGTTAGTGCATCTAACTCTTCTTTCATTGCTTGTTACCAAAAAGGGTTAAAAGATGCCTCACGAAAAGTGTGAGGTTCATGTAAAGTTGTAAGAGCATGATAGCAATGGAAATCATTAAGATGTGCAGGTGGAGCTCTTACCCAAGTGGAATGGGGGCGAAGATATGAAGTAGTTATGATGACAGGGGACTCAGATTAGTCAGATGGCTGGGACTCGGTTGAAGAAGGATTGATTGCCTCTAATGATTCTAAAGGTTGAGAATTAAGAAAAAGATCTGTAGTTTAATGGAAGAACATGAAATGCATTTTCAGAGACATTAAATTTGAACAATGCGTGGAACATCTTGTGCTCCCAGAAGACTACACGACGAAAGACTCTGAGTCATTTAGCGACAGGATTATAAAACCTATACCCCTTCTGTCCTATTTCATACCCAAGAAAATAACAAAGTTTAGAACGTGGTTGTAATTTTGTGCGTTCATGGGGTTGGAGTAGAATAAAGCAGACACACCCAAAAACTCTAAGATGATGGTAGACAGGTGGGTTATCATAGAGACGTTTATATGGTGTTTAATGGTGTATACAGTAGTGAAGGATGTTTTCCCCCAAAAAGAGGCAGGAATAGAAGTAGAGAGGGTGAGTGAATGAATGAATTGTTACTAAAATGTGTTGAAGTTTGTGTTCAGATTGACCATTCTGCTGTGAT